CGTCGCTGAAGAAATTAGATACTTCTACTAATTTCAGGTGAGGTTATTTTTTTTAATTATTTATTATATTTACGTGATTTACATGGAAAACATTAATTTACACATAAATAAAAAAGACTAGCTTTAGAAAAAAAAGATAAAATTGTTTTTATTTATGACGCTAAAATTTGTCGACGAAATGTTTCAAAATTGTTGTATATATTTACAATCCACAACACATATGAGTCAAAAAGTTGAAATAGAAAACGTATATAAATCTATATAAATCTAATATTTTCAGTATTATTTCCTTCCTCACAGATTGAGAGAAACAGTTTTTCTCTATCTCTGATAGTGTTAAAATAAAACTGAAACATTTTAGATTCATATATGTTTGATATTTCCTATTCATTTATCATATGTGGGATTCAGCCGATATATTTGAGGTGCATTGTGTTTAAGTCATATATATATATATATATATATATATATATATAATCATTTGAACTTTGATTCAATTATATATATATATATATATATATATATATATATATATATATATATATATATATATATTTGCGCGTTTTTGGTGGAAAATTGCACACATATGCGGTTTTATGGATGGTAATTTCAATGATCTTCACACAACTGGTTTTTTTTCTACAGTCGATAAAATTTATGCTTTATTTGTGTTGGATTTTTGTGTTTGGTGGAGGGGAAAAATTTATCTTCTGCGATTGTTTAGATTGAACGACACATATGCATAAACATTTAACATAGAGGCGTATGCATGTTAGTTCCAACATGAAGCCATATTGATATTTTTGCATTAGGCGAAGTTACACATTCATCCGTTGGAGTTCACGTATGATACGCAACTTTCATTATGTCAAATTTCAATTTTCAAGAGACAAAGTATATAAAGCGCAAACAGATCCAATTTTGAAAAAAAATAATCAGTTTGTCTGAACATCATGGAATACTTGAAACCCATGTTACAAACTACTTGGATTCAACCGCCACATATATATATATATATATATATATTATATAATGAACGTATTATATTATGCAGTATATATATTATTTATAAAGAGATAATCATACCTTGAATGAATTAATCAATACTAGTGCAATTAATATCAAAATCTCTTAAATTAACAGATTTAATATAAGCATTTGCCTACTAACAATCAAAAGAAAATTTGATCCTTATGGATAAAATTAATTAATGAACTTTGATCTCTTTATAATATATATATATATATATATATATATATATATATATATATATATATATATAGGGGATGGTGGTTAGAACTGGCTTTTGACCTGGAGTTTGGGTTCTAATCTTCTGATGGTATCGGAATGGCATCTTTGGAATGTGCCTGAAAACCATACCACGGGGTGACCCAAGTTTAAAGATGGAATTGGAAGACGACTCTCTTGCGGTGAGCCCCAAACCACAAGTTTCGTGGCCGTTTGAATGAGCGTGCTGGCCTTGTTCAAATTTTTGGATTACGCTCGATAACACGATCTCTCCTAATTTTGTAAGAAAGGTCTGCTCAGCATAACATGGAGGTATATAAAACACACTTGGATTCTGTGGATGTTGAGCAAACACAAATGTGCCTGAGCGGGCGTCTGCATTAGAAATTGTCTAGCCGAATAGTAGACGGATATCCTCGAAGGGAGTTTCCAGCTAAAATATATATATATATATATATATATATATATATATATATATATATATATATATAAAATGTGTATATATATATATATATATATATATATATATATGGGCATTTAAATATAATATATATATATATATATATATATATATGTATATATATATATATATAGTATATATATATATATATATATATATATATATATATATATATATTATCATTTGTCCGTGTGTATTTCAATGTAGACATATATTTTTAAAATAGTGAGCGAACATTTATATTTATAAACTATTTAACAAACTTAAATTATTAGCCGTTTCCTTCATGACATGTATGACAATGACTCTCCAGTTTTTCCTACTGTTTGTAGCTATTATATTATCCATTTAACCAATCTTCATAGGTAGGTTACTCACTGATTCGCTCTGCCTTTTTTTGCCTTCATTATGGTTTATGAGTGTAAAAAATATTTAAATTCCTCTTTGTCCCATCATCTATATTAAAAAAGACCAACGCATACGTTCTTGTTTCTATGAAATGTATCCTTTTTTCCCCATAGTTCTAAAAGAACCTCCTTGCTTGTTTGTCCCGCCCATGTTATTCTCAACATCCTTCTGTAGAGCCATCACTCAGCTCTTCCCTTTATCTGCGGGGATATTGCCCAACTTTCATCCTATATGAAACAGTATATATTCGATGGTATTTTATTATTACTTCTTTTTTACTAGCTTAATTACTTTTACTTTTAATGTTAATTTTATTTATATACTGATGGAAAAATCTGTTAGAAGTCTTATATTGTAAGATAAGATTTTCCAATGTATAACAATGAAATATTTTTTTCTTGGAAACAAAAAGTAATGCTTGAATATCCTGCAATATTTATATTCTTATATATGTAAATATTGTTAATTCATTGTGAGAAATTAAATGATCACTGATATTGATTATCATACTTACAACACAACGAGATGATGTACACATTGATAAGCATATTTGAAATTTCCGCATATTGATAAACACCACACAATTAATTTCATATTTTCTGTCACATTGAATAATAATGTGTTTAAGTTTTCTTTATATTTGACATCGATATGCATACTTACTTTTATTTGCCATGCATAAAAAGACAATATTGTGGATAACTGCGCATGTGCACGTTTTTAATATATTCACTATAGTTCTAGCAACATTTTAGTAACAATACATGTGTTCCCAGGATGAGGCATCCGTGTGATCCTGATGTAACACACATGAACAGAATCAGAACAATGATATTGACATTCATTTAGAGCATCTTCGTAAAATTAGGTTCAGTCAGTTTTACTTATTGTGTTTAATTAATTTCGTAAATTTAGAGGAAACATATCAAAATACTTGTGTATTAATTTAAATGAATGTATACAAACATTTCCTGGATGTTTAATTTGATGCATTCTTAGGTCCTTCTTAAAAAAAAATATTATTTGCAATATATTTAGTTGAGATCCTATCATTCAAACATATTTCAAAAAATTTCATTTCTAATTGATGTCGATTTCTGTGATAAAATCATTTCATTTACTCCTGAATTAATTTATGGACTCAATCATCTTTCAGTTATATTTTAGTTGAAAAGAAGGAACCTTACAAGCATCAACGTTCAGAAATATTGGACAATTATATTTAGGTTTGGTTGGGTTTGTTTATTTTGTTTAACGGCATATCAACCTCAGTGGGTTATTTAATGCCGACAACATTTTTAGGATATATTCGTATGAATAGAATATGTATTCTTTGGTTTAGATTGGTTTGGTTTATTTTTTTTTTTACGACATATCAACCTCAATGGGTTATTTAATGCCGACATCATTTTAGGATATATTCGTATGAATAGAATATGTATTCTTTGGTTTAGATTGGTTTGGTTTATTTTGTTTTACGTAATATCAACTTCAATGGGTTATTTAATGCTGGCAAAATTTTTTATTGCTGGTAATATTTTGTTTCGTCAAAAATCTGTTTCTGGTAATATATTTCCTTCAAAAATGTATTGCGGGTATAATTTTTTCAAAAAAGTATTGCTGGTAATAGTTAACTATTTGCCCATAGCTGGGACCCTAACAGGTACTACCATCCCGGGTCAGGGTGGACCTGGGAACACCAGCAATTAAGGGGTGGTTCACGCTGCTCAAAACCTCCTGATCAGAGGCCTTGCTGCTGGACATAGTTTAACGTCTTACCCAGGAAGCATCCACCCACTGGATGCATTGTTCCATGCCCAATATTGGTGGGCAACCAGATTGGTTTTTGTCAGTTCAACTTGTTCTTCCCACTTTAAAGAATTCTACCCACCCATACACATCTTGTGGATTCACGGTGCATGCTCCATACAGTGCCAAGCTTCTGGCGATGAATCTCTGTGGGTCTGACTCTCTGCTCACAGAAAGTGCACTACAGCAACTTCCAACCCTTGCACTTCTGTACTGTGGAGTAACATAACTTTCTAAGACAACACTGAAATATTCCTGTCTATTCACTTCATCGTTTTTACTAGATGAAATGATTTGCATATGCAAATGACTTTTCTAATTCGCTATACCACTCATGCCCACATGATACCCAGCAACAAATACATGTCCACTCTTTCTTGTTAACAAGCCACTAATGAAATCTTCCCTACAATATCAGGTAAAATTAATATGATAAGAGAAGCTTAGATTTTATGCTTCTGCTGATCCCTAGTTAAATAAGAATATTACTCCGTCAAAAACTAGGATTATTTTTTTTATACATTATTTACATTAGTCAGACTATTGTCCTCATCTTTGTCGCCATATTTATTACAACATTTCGGCTGTTGTACGCTCTAGCCTTCTTCAGGTGGTTGGAATGTTGAACTGAACCTTTTATTTCGGTCACTGGTAGACTGTTCTAGTTCCACGTGTCATGTTTAATGGATGTCAGTTATCTCCTGTTAATTCCCCTCTCCAAGTTCTGACTTAACCGGGTATTGAACTCACACTCTTTGGGTCCTGTCACTGGATCTAACACACGCCTTTATCCACTGTGCCTTGAGGACATCTGTGTACGAATTTCTGGGTATTATAAACCTAATGTCTTCAGTAACCATTTTTACCAGTGCTCATATTGCAATTGTTGCTGAAATATAGACAGATATTTTTTTTATATTTGACAGTTCTTAAAACTTGCTTGTTATCCAACATAACAGAAAAAATGAATAAAGTCTTACAAAACTTACCAAGTTCAGCAATGTTTTCAATAAGCTGATTGAAGGCTGTCCCAGAGATTTTAAAGCTTCAAGCAATTTTCTGTAACCCCCATTACTCTGAAATCTATCCTGTAAAGACAAACACAATGTTTAATGAGAAATATTTACAAAATAATAAAATTTCAAATGTAGTTTATCAGCTTACCTAGGACACTAAAATTTTATGAAAAGATTTATTGCATAAAATAGAAATAAAATAAGAAAAGTCTGGCAGTAGATAAGGTAACATGGTAAACATGGATGAAGATATCTGCAATAAGACGGAGTGCCAAAAGGATGTTTTTTTTTCCCCCCATGACACGTTTTTTAACTACCTTTACTCTTTGACAATGTTTGTTTTAAAAAGTGATGATTAGAATTGTAATAAAACCTAAACACATGAAAGTGAATTTAAACATTTTCTTTATTTTCGAGAATTGACAACAAAAATAATAAAAACGATTTATTTATGAGATTGCTTATTTACACTATTATTTAGTGAAATGTTTGGCAAAACATTGACTAATTGCTAATCGGTTCAAAATTTATAAAAGGGTAAATTTTTTTTCATTTTAAAGTTGATTCATATATTTTTTTTTAAAAAATTTATTCTTTATTAATAAAAAATTTCACATTTATTTCTTTATGAATTGGTAAATGATAAATATTGTATTGTTTTAGTATTTATGTATGTATGTTGGAAATATAAAATTATTCTTGGAAATAAAAATCTAAATAAAAAAAAATACTCTGTCTATATTTGTGATATGAAGTATTGTAATTATTTACATAGTTTGGACTATTGTCCTCATCTTTATTGTCATATTTACAAGGTTTCAACCATTGTATGCTATGGCCTTCTTCAGGTGATTGAAATTTTGAACTGAACCCTTTATTTCGTCCACTGGGGTAGATTGTTCCAGTTCTACATGACATACCGCTTCTGCATGTCTCAGTTATCTCCCTTTAACTCAACTCACCACTGCAGTAGCCAGGTATTGAACAACTCGCAATTTTTTGGGTCAAGTCACTGGATTCAACCAATGCTCTTATCCACTGGGCCATGTGTCCTTGAGACATCCTAAAGAGGCATGGCATGTGGAAGTAGAACAATCTACGCTTGTGGATGAAATAAAGGGTTCAGTTTGAAATTTCAATCACCTGAAACGCTAGAGCATGATACAATCCATGAAACATCATGAATATGGAAATAAAGATGAGAGTTTTGAAGTCCAAACAATGTAAATAAATAAATAGTATTTAATATTTTTGTTGTAAATTCTTAAAAAAAAAAAAAAAAAAAAAAAAATGCATAAATTCACTTTCATCATATGTTTAGAACAATAAACATTGCCGAGGAGCGAAGGTAGTTAAAAAAGCAGGGTTATGCGAAAACCGTCTTTTTGAAATTATGTCTTATTGCAGGAACATTTATCCATATTTGCTGGTACCATTTTCCTTAACAGAATCCAAATCCTAGTTTGTATTTCTGAGTGACTGGAGAACAGTGTTTCCTGTAAAGAACTTTGACACCATGCATTAAGCAAAGGAAAAGAAATTTATTTTTGAAAGTATGTGTTTTTAAACTTTACTAATCAGCTGCTGTTGCTACTACTATGTTTCTCCTCTACAGCCAGTCCTCTGTTTGTAAATCTCATATATAGTCTAACTTGGTATTTTGCATGATTTTAAATCTAAACTCCTGAACTATTTTTCTATCAAAATATTTCCGCAATTAAATGTATTGAGTTTTACCTTTGCATTTAATGATCCATATAAAACTGTATTCATCACTTCCAATACGGTCATGGCAAGATTCTGAGCTTTCTGTGCAGACAACTGAAAATGATAAATATATAGAAATTTATAACAGAATGGTTTTGTGAAACAACTATCTCAGTCACCAAGCAGGCTATAACACTATACAAAGTCTGTCAGAGATGGATGTACTCAAACACTGTGAATATCTATTGTGCTAATCAAGTGTATTTTTTTTTCAGCATTTCACCCCAAGCAAGACATCATTAAAACTAGCATACAAGAGGTTAAAAAATTTAGATTCAAAGCAAATAAGAAGTGATATAGAAAGTAAAAAGAAAGGATTTTGGATAGATCAAGGCTTTTGGAGATGTTAATTGACATTACATTTGAATAGTTGGAGATTAAAACTATCAGGGAAAAAGGAAACTGGAAGGAGTTTCACAGGCAAGAGGTGCATAAGACATGAAGCTATTCAATAGAAGAGATGGCTACATTTTAACAGTTCATGAAGTGAAAGGGGGAGAGCAAGATGCCAGCCTAGTTAACATTTTTTATTAATTTCATGAAGTTTGGGAACCAGCGAAACAACTCATCGTTTTTTTTTACCATTTATTTGTAAAAAAAGACAGAGGGAGGCGATTCCACATCTGTGAGAAACAACTGCAGATGAGATATCCAGATCAGGGCCAATATCTTGCTGTTTCAAAAAATTTTTAAACTGAGTAAAATTTTGGAAAACATGTACTTTTGCATAATAACATTCTAATAACTTTTTTTTTTGCCTTTAATTTTCGTAATAAAAATTTAATGTATTATACAATAGGACATGTAGTCAGTGTAATAGATATAGGCACAGATGTGGAATCGGCAAGCTGAGTTCAAATTTTAGCCTTAACTTACTTTTACACATGCAATTTCTTGTTTCCCAATAACTGCAATCTTCTTAAATTTAAATGCCATATCAATCACCTTCTTCTATTTCCTTGAGTCTTGTTCATTTATTGTCCGTTCCTCATTGGTTTAGTTTGTTTTATGGTATATCAACACCTCAATGGGTTATTTAATGCCGATAAAATTTTTATTTCTGGTAATTTTTTTTTTTTTTTTCAAAATATGTATTTCTAGTAATATTTTTTCTCCAAAAATATATAGCTGATAATGACTTTTATCTTTTTTTTTTGCAAAAAATGTATTAGTGGTAATAATTTTTTTAAGAAAGTATTTCTGTTATTAAAACCTATTTTTACACTTTCATAGTGTTTTGATCCCAATTTGGGGGTTAACTATTTGCCCATAGCTGGGACCCTAACAGCTGCAACCACTCCAGGTCAGGGTGGACCTGGGAATATCAGCAATTAAGAGGTGGTTTCACGCTCCTCAAAACCTCCTGATCAGAGGCCTTGCTGTTGGGTGCAGTTTAACATCATGTGTGTGTGTGTGTGTGGGGGGTTAAATATTTGCCCATAGCTGGGACCCTAACAGGTGCTACCACCCCAGATCAGGATGGACCTGGGAATATCAGCAATTAAGAGGTGGTTTCATGCTCCTCAAAACCTCCTGATCAGAGGCCTTGCTGGTGGATGTAGTTCATAGTTTTACTCAGAATGCGGATGTAGTTTATTGTCATACCCAGGACAGTCCTTTCCTCAATTCTCCCTACTAAAGTCTTCTCATTCTCTTTCCCTCCCTGTAACTCGATGCATCTTAGTGGCATTATCACCTTGCTTGGGGTGAAATGATAACAAAAATCTTCAACGACAGAAAATTCAGACTTTAATAATTGTTACATTTGCAAATATATTTCATACCTTAATAGAAAAATAATTTATTTTTATTTTTAAATCCAAATTATCTGCCATTATTTCTAAGAACAAAACACAGAATCAGTTACTTTGAATATTATAGTATCATTTAAAGATGAAAACAAAAGATCCTTGCTTGTTGACAAAGAAACATTTGATTTGTTGGAATAATAACATACAAAAGGATTCGACTTACAGTTGCATTATTGAGAAGTGAGATGAACGTATCAAACATCCCTCCGGAAACAAAAATGACCTGAAGGGCTTTCTTATCCCGACAAGAAAGCATCTCCTTTACGGTCTCTGGAATAATAACAATAATAATAATAATGGTGGTGGTGGTGGTGGTGGTAGTAGGTAGAAGAAGTGCATCATATTATATAATTTTCATAACAAAAGTAGAGAGGCTCTCTCACACACATACACACACAAACATATATATATATATATATATATGAAAAATGCATTAAAAAAAATTATACAGTCAGACGATGTCAACTTGTTTAAATGAATTGTTGGGACATACATGAAAACACACAGACTATATATATTTCTAAAGAATTAATGGATTTATTTTGAATCTGACATTTTGAATCACCTCAAATGTTAATATAGTGGATACTCCATAGTGTGTGTGTGTATGTATATATATATATATATATATATATATATATATATGTTTTTAATTGATGTGTGTGTATATATATATATATTTTTAATTGATGTGTGTGTGTGTATATATATATATATGTTTTTAATTGATGTGTGTATATATATATATATATATATATATATATATATTTTTAATTGATGTGTGTGTATATATATATATATATATATATATATATATATATATATTTTTAATTGATGTGTGTGTGTGTGTGTGTATATATATATGTTTTTAATTGATGTGTGTGTGTATATATATATGTTTTTTTTAATTGATGTGTGTGTGTATATATATGTTTTTAATTGATGTGTGTGTGTGTGTGTGTGTATATATATATATGTTTTTAATTGATGTGTGTGTGCATATATATATGTGTGTGTGTGTGCATATATGCGTGTGTTCTTAATTTTTGTCTATATTTATGTTTTATTTATTTCAGTGAATATTTTTCTATTTTTTTTTTATTTTCATGAATATAATTACATGATTTTTTATTTCTCCATATATTTGTTTTTATTTTTGTATATATTTATGTATTTTTTTATTTTCATATATATATATATATATCAATGTTTTTATTTTCGTATATATTTGTTTTTATTTTCATATATATTTAGGTTTTTATTTTTGCATATATCTAGGTTTTTTATGTTTGTATATATTTGTTATTTTGGTATGTATATATTTGTTTTTATTTTCGTATATATTTATTTGTTTTTTATTTTCGTATATATTTGTTTTTATTTTCGTATGTATTTATTTGTTTTTATTTTCGTATGTATTTGTTTTTTATTTTTGTATATATTTAGGTTTTTTATGTTCATATGTATTTGTTTTTTATTTTTGTATATATTTGTTTTTTATTTTGTATATATTTATTTGTTTTTTATATTTGTATGTATTTGTTTTTTTTTTATTTCTGCCTATACTTATCTATTTGTATATTTTCCATATGCTTATATGTCATGTTTGTTTATGGCTTCAGATGTATCATCCCTAATTATATGTATTTCAGTTACTCACATAAACAATTTGGTTAACAACAGAATTTTGAATGGATTATATTTGTATATAGAGCTACCCCCCCTGCCACCTAATTGTCAATGATGAGGTAATCAAAACCTTTTTTGGTTCACTATACACACAGGATTAACATTTTCATTTTTTTTTTTATTCTCAGTTGGGCTAAATCCAACATGAAATTAAAATCACGCCCTGATATAGCATCTTGTTTCCAACTAGGATTATTAAGAATTCGAAAATACTTACGAATCATCGAGACCTGGAGAGAAGATGCCTCATTTTCAGGAAGTTCTTGGTCCATTTTTAATGATTGCAAAACATTCAGGTAACCTTCCATTACTTGGCTTACTTCCACTTGTCTCTACGCAGAGAAAACAAAACCCAAAAGATCAACATTAGATAAAATCACATCTTTATGGCTGCGAGATTTCTTAAGAAATCTTGATGTCTTGTCCAAAAACTTTACCCACAAAAGCATTAAACAAACTGATTTTAACAATATATACGTGTGTGTATATATATATATATATATATATATATATATATATATATATATATATATATATATATATATGTATATATATATATATATATATATATATATATATATATATATAATATGTGTATATATATATATATATATATATATATATATATATATATATATATATATATGTGTGTCTATATATATATATATATGTATATATATATATATATATATATATGTATATTATATATATATATATATATATATATATATATATATATATATATATATATATATATATATATATATATATATATATATATATATATATATATATATATATATATATATATATGTTTATATATATAAATATAGTCTTAAAAAGTTCTATATTTATGGGATAAAGTGCTGAATATCAGAGATAGAGCATGTGTAGAGATAAAAGTGAACAGAGAAGTCAACACTTAGAGATTGCTAGATGCAATCATCAGCCACCATATATGTTTTTTAATTAATTGGTGGCCTGACGATTGCATCGAGCATGAAACAGACTGTGTTGACTATGTTCAATTTTATATTTGTGCGTGTATATATATATATATATATATATATATTTTGAACAATAAGAAAATAAAAAATTAAAATCTTTGGACACACTGGGTTATAGATTAATATTCTTTCGTTTTTTTTATTATTATTCCATTTAGATTCCTCGATATATATATATATATATATATATATATATATATTAAAATATATATGTGTGTATATATATATATATATTACAAAATTAAAATTGAAGTTAATTGGTTATTACTGTGTGAAAAAACATATTAAATTAAATTTACATTAGGCACTATTTTGGAAAAAAATGAAAATATCAATAAGAACACCGCATTATATATCTGACTGTTCTTTCTTTTTTATTTATATATATATATATATATATATATATATATATATATATATATATATATATAACGTGCAATCAATTTACAAATTCATGAATTATTCACACAAAGGGGTCTGGGGAAAAAGGTTAATGATTTAATTAATCCGAAATCCATGTCATAAAACAATTCAAATAATATACAAAAACCTCGAATCCGTTATGAATGAATATTCATAATAATTTCATGAAATTATTTGGTTTATTTTGTAATCGAGGAATTATGAATATTTATATATATATATATATATATATATATATATACACACATAGACAGACATACATATGCATGTGTATCTGTGATCTTGTAAATGTATGCAGCTACAAACATCTGATTTAATGACTAGTAATTTTACACAATTTTTAAAATTTTTATCTATATTTGGGCTTTTATTTTTTTTAATACAGTCAAATTCTTTTGCAAATCATATATATATAAAATTAATGTTATTTAATTTTTTTTAAGTTTAATTTAAGATTTGAGCCTTGGTTTTTGAAACAGTATTTTCTGTGTTGCAATGGATACATATATATATATATATATATATATATATATATATATATATATATATATATATATATATATATATATACAAAAAAACATACACAAACTTTTTTATGATTTCTTACTTATGATTGCTTCTTAACTTCCATTTCTCCGCTTACTTTGAACATAGCATAGGCCATTTTGATTGGTGGATCTGAATATAAACAAAACCAATCCTGCTGCAATCTCCCCCCTATTCTTTCTTGTTCTTTTTTCTTATTCTTCCTTTCCTTGGAAAAAGAGAGTATTATATCTTGTGTCTTTCTTTCTTAGTCTTTTTCTTTTTTCATGAAAGGAGGTTGTATGTTGTTTTTATATCTCAATAAATTGTCTACAAACCAGTTGTTCACTAAAACCTGATGAGATTTTTTTCATTTTTTTTTTTTTTAAGCGTTTCACCCCAAGCAAGACGGGAAGCCAATAGGACGCAAGGGGTTACAGAAGATTTGAAGCTAGATCAGATAGGAGTGATAGAGGAAAGGATGAGGAGAAGGATAGTGGATAGATCAAGGCAACTGGAGATGTTGATTGACATTACATTTGAATAGTTGGAGGTTATAGCTCTCAGGGAAACTGGATGTGTTAGTAAACATGATTGCATAGCGTTTTTTTTTACATGTGTTGATGTAATATCCTAAAATAAAGAATATTGCTCTACTTTGGTATTGAGCCCTCTTTTGAATTGAATTTTATGAACGTCAGAATTGGATTCAGTTTGTTCTCATTTCACATGGATATGTAACAAACACCATTTAGTCTTATTTCCCACATTTACCGTGCTGTTTCACACAAAGTGATTTTCAAGATGGTAACTCTTCTTCAATAGCATTACCAAGATTTCTTGCTCTTTTCTAGCTCTTAAAAGGTCCTAACAATTCCTTTTGAAAAAGCATGAAAGGAAAGACAATAACTTTCATTAATACAGTCAAAAAAAAAAACTCACAGTAACCTATTCTGAAAATTTGCTTATGGAGTTTAAATGAGTCTCTATTACTACAACGTCACTTGTACAAATCAAGATACCGATGGTACAATTCACCGTTCTTGCTTTCTGCACACTTCCCAATGTAAATCAGAGTTTTTCTTCTGCCGTTTTCAGAACTTCAGCCCTCTTTTAAAGGCCAACACTGCGGTCAACCAACCAATCAGCGTTCTTGGCTTTTTTATAAAGAGTAAAACCCAGAAAATTGCCTCCTCCAGTTTGACCAATCAGCACACGAATTGATATTGGTGGAAGCATACCAAACTGTACAAAAACCCTCATTACTTGTACATATGCTAGAATTGCTAGACGGAAGAGTAATGCCATTTTCATAGAACAAATTTGCCGATGTCAAAAAAATAACGTTAAGGTAAAGACCCTTATTATCCTATGCTTAGATGCAAGCCACTCTGGATTTTTTTTTGCTTCTACAATAAACATTAAATTGTTAACTTAACATGAAACAGCACATAAGTGGAAAAATGGAACTAAAAACGTTCTTTTGCATGTTTCAAAAAAGATCTTGGAAAGGAATTTAAAAATAAAAATAGGTCACACATTTTTATATTAAAAAAAAAAAAATGGAATATTCAAGTACACACACACTCACACATTATATATATATATATATATATATATACACTAACACACACACAATGAAAACAGACAACTTTAAGGGTGCATCAGTTATAATTTATTTCCCCAGGGTCAGTTTTCATTGAATTAATCTCTCTGATTTAACAACGAGCTCTCTGGATTTCATCCTCCTTGAGATTATCCATACGGATTACCAAGATTTTCATTACTTAAAAATATATATATATAAAGTAAAATATAGTCTTAAAAATGTGCTATATTTATAGGATAAAGTGCTCAATATCAGAGACAAAGCGTGTGTAAAATAAAAGTGAACATAGAAGTTGTTTTTTAGGCGACAGTCTGTTTCATGCTTGGATACAATGTCAGGCCATATATATATATATATATATATATATTAGTAGCTGTAAAATGTACTTGTAACCAAAATTAAAATTCCACCTCCTGTAACTGTTAAATAGTTTAGTAGATTATTAATTTTCAGTGGAAGTGTATCTTGGCTCCAACTTCCAGAGCTTGACCTTTGAGGTCAGATTGAAGTCAATTTTGATTGGCTGAGCTAGCATGTTTCAGAGAGTTGAAATGCAATGTAGACATGTTCACTTTTGTGTCTAGAATAGCACCTCACTGAATAGTTAGTACATGTCACTAATAAAATGATTAAGTCAAAATTCTCCATGTTGATGTCATTTATTGCTAGCCAAGAACATCTAACGATCACCGGCCGAGAGAGAAGATGCAACATTATCAAGTGGTGCCGTTGACCTCCCAGAGTGATGGAGCTATACAACATAACTTGTGGACTACCCTCAGTACTAAAGTTCCCATGTAGCAGTTAAAGCAGGTTTACAGTACTTACTTGGTCTGGACAGGAACAATGAATAACATGCACCATTCGCACAATACACTTGAGAACCAGTTTCTGAAGAATAAGCACTTGCTGATGTTTCTCACTGGGCGTTTTCTGTTGACTGATGAGGGATACACAGCACAACAACACATCAAGGGTTGCAGGAGTGATTGAACGCAAGGCATTTTGCTGAACACAATATAAAATAAGAATTTAATAAAATCTTTAGGTTATTAGACAGATTGTTTTTTTTTTTTTGAATGATTTGTTTTTTTATGGCTTATCAACCTTTTGCAGGTTATTTAAAACCAGAAATTATTTTTAAATTGGAAGAATTTTTTGTACATAATAATAATTTGCTGATACAAGTCCTACTAATTAACCCATAGCAAGGGGGAGAAGCAGCGGATTTATACCTTTCTCAATGAAATTACAGTGAAAAAATTGCATTACTTTTTGACTCCTCCTCATACATATATATGTACGTTTTATATATATATATTACAATGAATAATTCATACAAAAAGTAAAGGATCATAACATTAATTGAGTGGTTAGTGGGTTAATGCATCTTTAAAATTTTGTTGGCAACGCGATTTTGCCATTTTATATTGTTAACATTACTAATTTATTTTTTGTATGAATAATTCATTATAATATAAATTAAACTGCACCACATATTTTATATATATATATAATAATTGATTTGTTTTTTATGGCTTATCAACTCATTGCAGGTTATTTAAAGCCAGACAATAATTTTAGATTCTAAGAATATGGGGGCCAGGAATATAGTTAAATATAGTTTAGTGATACATGTCTTACTAATTAACCCATAGCTGGTTGGAGAAGAGGTGAACTCATACTTTTAAAGAGTATTTGCACCTAAATGAATATAACAAACCCAACTGGAATTGGAACTTGGCTCTCTGACTAACAATTACATTTTTATTATCCATTACACCATGAAACATCTCAAAAACAGCATTTTGGTATTTCATTAAAACGGTGACCCATCTAGGTACTGTCCAGGCTGGATTGCTGAAAATTACATTCAAGAAAAAAAGAAAAATGTGACAATACAGGAATTGAATCTGTGTCTTCCTTTGTAGGAGAAACTACTATAAAAACCCAGCAAAATTTTTACCACTCATATTGAAAGAAATTCACTGCCCAGCAAGGATCTATTTTCCTTTTTAAATCCCCAGGATGAATTTATCTTTAATTCAACATTTTTATTACTTCAAAGATTATATAGTGAATACACATATTTGAAATAGATGCCACATTTTCATATATATATATATATATATATATATATGTGTGTGTAAATACATTTTTTTTTCATTGATACATGTTTCATTAAATAATATAGACAAGTGTTGTCTATTTATTTTATGTAAATTCTTTTCATATCGTTTGATAATTTTAATAACATTATCATTAAACGAAGAAAGAAAATCACAATATTGATTCATATTTTTTTTAATCCTATCTAAGCTTTTCAGATTACATAAGCCATTATCAAAGATGACATTTACATATATATATATATATATATATATATATATATATATATATATATATATATATTAGTATGAGGCACAAAAATGGATGCAACCATAAAATCTTCAATTTTGGATTTTTACCAAAACAAGTGAGTAATAGATTTTGTTTATTAAAATTCATTATTAATAACTTGTACATATGTACATTATACAAGTCAAAAATGATTTAGTATTTTGTCTTTTAACCTTTTTTGCTTTAATAATGGCTTAATTCTATATGGCATTCGAACTTATTCTAAATTCTTTAGTAAGTCAACGTCCTTCTCCAGATTTTTTTCCATTTCTTTAAATTTGAAAAAATCGTCTCATCTTCTGTGTTAACTTTCTAATTACTAAATCTTGTCCATTATCAGCCCAAAGGTTTTTCAATTCGGTCAAGGTCAGGACTCTGACTAGGCCACTGGAAGAGTCCGTGTAGGATTTTACCAATCATAAACACTTCCTCTGCCAGATAACGTTTATTTGAAAAGCCTTTACCATGCTAATTTCTTTATATAATTGTTACCCTATATATGCATTTTTTTTTGGGGGTGCAAAATTAACACACCTACTGTTTTCAATTGTTATAATTTTCTTTGTATTGTGCATATAGATTTTAATTTTTTACAATAATAAAAAGAATGAATGACATAATATTTTGATGTAATGCATTATGTTTTGCATGCATGTTTTGATGTTGAAAATTAAAAAAAAATGAAACACGAAATACAAAAAACAAATACATTAAAAAATACATAAATAATTCAACGTACTCTAACATTTATTACTCATGGAGTGCTGGGGGTGCAATAAGAAGCAAAATAGAATTTATCCAATTTATGTACTCACCTGGTCACCAGACATTACACCACCAAACATTTTGCTGCTCTTTGTTGATTTAGCATTTGTTCTGGTAAATTGTTTTCTGGAAACACTCTGTAAAGAAATAAAAACCTACATGTATAAAATGCAGCATGTTCAGGTAGATGGAACTCGACAACCCAGGAAGGTAGTTCAAAAAGATTAGTGATATATTTTTCCCTAAGCCATATTTTCATAATTATTTTTGCTTGTCTCAAACATATTCAAAAAATTTTTTAAAAAAAACCGCACAAACAACCTGATAGCAAAGAACCCCAATGCAGATGATGTTAAAGGAGATAATCACAGATTCAAAGTCAGAAGATTATCATTGATAACTCTCTCCGCCAATTTGCAGACCCTAATTCCTATATTCTTAATACAATGCAAAAATATAACAAAGATAAAAATCAATCAATAATTATTTATAACTATTTATACTGGGACTTATGCATACAATTACAAGTAATCCATAATAATATTTTAAATTTTGAAATCATATTTATTTTTGGCATATGAATTTTTTGAAACTGCTCCTAAATATTTGATTGTCTTTCAATCATTCCACCTCACCTGCTTTCACTGCACCTATGAGGCATGCCACAACATTTTCTCCACTGCAAATCGGGGGGAAGGAAAATTTTTAAACCTTTAGAAAAAGGCTCTTTCTGTAAATCAGGACAGAAAAGCCAGAATGGAGCCTAAAGGAGGTTTGAATCTTGTCAGTATGACTAACCAGGTTGTAACTGCCTGGGGTGAACCAATTTCAGGGCAGTGCATGAGACGGGATCAGAACAATTCTATAACAATGAGGTTGTGAATTCAAATTTTAAATTGCTAACTAGAAGGTCCTTTTTAAGCAAAAGCTATGTGTAAAATAAAATATGTCTGTTTTGGATCTTATAGTCTTGGGTGGCAACCAGTCTAGGAGAAGGAAATTCTGAATTCAAACCACCTGTGCCTTGTAGGTCCTGCCTTTTTAGACAAAGGTTGAATGTTTTCTATAGAAATAGCAATATAGAAGCAACAGGCTTGTAAAATTTTTTCAAAAATGAATGCAACAGACTACACTAAAAACATTATTCAGACTATTTTAATAAAATACTTTGTCTACCTGTACCTGAAAATGAATTTTATAGGTGGTTTGTGGGCTCCAATTAATTGGATTTTCATGGGAATTTGGAATTAAATCAACTAATGGTCGTTAACCCACATGTATAGCACATGATTTGATTTAGTGGTGAAAAACAGAATGCAGGACCATCCACACTTTTTGAAGCATCATTTACATAGACCTGACTGACTCGTTTTAGGGTCCCGTTTAACCCCCCTTCAGGTTTTGAATTCAGAATTTTTCTTAAAAAAAGATATGTTGCCATCCAAGGCTATAGAAGCCATGGATGACCTGCTATTTACCATGAGCTGGAGGGAGAAGAAGAGGAAAAAACCTTTCCCAAATCTTTTTTATGATTAAGTAAAATGAATGTAATGGATAAAAATTGGAATTAAAACTTGGCTAATTTGATTCCTCAATCCAAGCATATTTATCCATTTAGTCCACTGTTTTTCCCTATCTCTGTTCGACATACAATTACAATGTTTCAACAAATTAATTCCTGTCAGCCTTCTTCAGGTGGTTGGAATATTAACTGATTTTTTATTTGCTCACTTTCAGACTGTTCTTTCACGTGCCATGTTGAATGGATGTGTCAGTTATCTCCTGTTAATGCCTTCTCCAAAGTTTTCCACCGCCTTAAAATGGGTATTGAACTCACAAAATAAATGGGTCCTGTCTCTGGATCTAACCAACACCTTTACATCCATGTCTCTTAACAGAAATAACTGAATCCTTCATCCTTTTCTGATTCGGCTGAAGCGTTGTAATAAATATGGTGACAAAAAAATGAGGACAATAATCGAATAATATAAATATTCTTATTTTTAATACCTCATCTCACAAATATAGACAGATACTGAAATCAGAAAGAATTTTTAATAAATATTTTGACAAAGATGAGGACAATAGTCCAAATAATGTAAATAGTGTGATTAATACTTTCATCTCAAAAATATAGACAGATACTGAAAGGCAGAAACGTTGTAATAAATATGGCAACAAAGATGAGGACAATAGTCTGAATAATGTAAATAGTGTACATAATAACTCAAAGAAATATAGACAGATACTGAAAATTTTAAGGCGGTCATAATAAATATGGGACAAAAGATGAGGACAATAGTCTGAATAATGTAAACAGTGAACATAATACCTCATTTTCAAAATATTTAAACAGATATTGAAAGGCTTTAGAAAAGAAACGTTGTAATAAATATGGCGACAAAGATGAGGGACAATAGTCTGAATAATGTAAATAGTGTACATAATACCTCATCTCAGAAGTATAGACAGATACTGTAACAGACTAATCTGAAATCAGCTTGTTCCATTCCACTATCCACACTGATAACTGTTTTGCTCCCCATGTATTTCCATTATTCTGTTTTTTAGTTAAAGTAAAACCAACAAAACATCTTGTCTAAACAGAAAAAGAATCAGCAAACCATATACATCAATGTGTATTTATTTATATATTTCCTGTCCCAACTGTAGTGAGGATGAGAGGTCAATAAACTTCAGTTAGTAAATTTATGAGTGATTACTTCGCTTAGTCATTTTAATAATTTTACAAATAAAATATTTATCTGCATTTAGACAAAATTATTTCCCAAGCAAAATGAACCATTTAATTTATTATCAGGTCATCCCATAAGTTCTGTCCAAATTTAACTTTTTGTTAAAATGAATGAAATTTAAAAAATTTTATAATGTTAAATAGTTGAACATTATTTTTTATGTTTAGATGCATTTAAACAACATTATAGACAGTGGCTTAAAAAAAAGAGTTAATAGAACCCGAGAAGAAACATTTCATGGGCAAAAGGTTCTTCTTTCAATCTGCAATTTTGCCAAGGAATAATCCACTTTTGAATTTTTACCACCTAATGCAACAATTAATGCTCAAATATACTGTCAGCAATTAGAGCATTTGAACCAAGCTTTGAGGAAAAAAAAAACCTGCTCTAGTGAAAAAAAAAGAGGTGACGTTTCATCAGGACAATATTGGAACCCTACACAGCAAGAATCACGTCACAAAAGATCGAAGAACTTGGTTGGGAGAAAATTTTCATCCACCTTATTCTCCAGATCTTGCTCCTTCAGACTACCATTTGTTTTAAACCTTACAGAATCATTTGGAAGAAACAGCTTTTTATAAACATAGGAAGAGGTTAACTTGACATTTGTGAGTTCTTCAAATAAAAGCCAAAAAGAATTTTACAGTAATGAAATTAGTAAGCTTGTTAATAGATGGAAGGAAATCATAGATAATCAGGGAAAATACATTGTTGATTGAATCTGTAATTAAATGTAACATTTGGTCACTTGTTTTCTTTATTCAAAATTTGGACAGAACTTATGGGATGACCCGATAGTTCCTTTACTCCTACATTTCTTTAGATTGCAGTCTTATTTGTTCAAACCTTTCATGTGAGGTACTCAGATACCTTAAGTGATTGTTTTGCATCAACTTGGTTCTGAAATAGGCTTTATTGTTGCCATCTTTGAAATTCTGTTGCTAATATTTCCATTTCACTGTTATATTAAATACAGAAAATTTTTAACATGAAAAGATATTGAGCAAAAAATCAATTTATTTTATATAATATTGGAGTAATCAATGATACCGTCGAGCATCTAAAGATATAAAGGGAACAGATTAATTAAATGGTTCATTGGCTTCTATTTTAGTTGCAAATTCTTTATCTCTGCTTTATTAAATCTCAATAAATTGTTTCAAGACTTTTGGTTCATTGCATCTTTTTAACAATTACTAGCAGTAGAGCCCGGCATTGCCCAGGGATGTAACAGTAAGAGATAGATCAAGTATCGACCATCATAAAGACTGAAAAATAAAATTGACAAAGATTATTGTTTAAGGTTGACGGACACGCATGTCTTAATTAATTTTTTTTTTTTTTTTTTTTACGAATTAGTCAAACCCAAACTCAAAAAAAACATTGTTTTCAATTGTTATGAGTCTATCGATTGAATAGAATTTTATTATAAACAATTGTCTTGTAAATGGAATTTTTAAAGCATTCTGAATGTAAAAATAAAAAAAAAAAGTGTGCAAGACAATAAGAAACACTACCTGCCAAAAAAAAGTGAAGTTTTGTTGAAATCGATTGAAAAATGTAGGAAATCCGATCCCATATATAAATGAACACACACACACAAAAACAACCTTATTTTTTTATAATAAGTATAACTTGATATGAGTTGTCCCCCTTTCATTCTGGCAACAGAAATTTTTATCGTGTTTGAAAATTGATTTTTTATAAAAACAATTGTGTTTTTCCAATTTTGGCGCTGTCAGAACCAAAACAAGGTAATTTTAAAAAAATAGTCCTGTGAAGTTTTGTTGAAATCGGTTTGAAAAATGTAGGAAATCGATCCAATATATAAACGTACAGACACACACACACACACATAATCTGCGTTTTATAATAAGTAAGATGAAAAATACAAGTTATCTCCCTTTGGTTGATAAGATCCCTGACAGGGAGAGATGAATCCATTTATCTTGATAATAATGTCTAAGATCCAAATTTAGGCACCAAATAGATTTGAGGAACCAAAGTTGAGAGGTTTGAAGACCACAGAGTTGAAAAGATATGTTTTAGCCTACTCCAAAGGTTAGATGATGCTGGCCATGAGTAAAACTGAATAGACGATGTTAATTAAACATTTTTTTGGAAGAAGAGATATAATCAAAGAGAATAATTAATTCTATCCATTTCAAATAAATAAATATATTGGAAGTAAATATTATGAACTGACATTAACTGATAAAGAAAATAATCAATCAATTTCTTAATTTTCTTTTGTATAAATGAATTATATAAAAGTATGTCTCTAAACATTTGTCTTGTCCTCCTTTCCTCTCTTTAGGACGAAGATGGGGAGGCCCTAATTTTCCCATACAATTGCCATCATTTTTGATGGCACGGGTACACCAGTTGTTAATGATCATGATCAACGAAGGGAGATCACTCATATCTTCAGTCAACTCCCTTGAACTATAAAAAAAGGCTTTACAAAGAAAGCTTCCCATGATTCTGGATTTTACATGGATCGTCTTAGTGAAATAGTTTTTGTTAAAGAATATTTTATCCAATTTGTCCTTGTCAAATGAGTCCATTTATCTGACAATAATGGGTAAGACCCAAATTTAGGTGGCAAATAGATTTGAGACACCAAAGGTGAGAGATTTGAAGACAACTAAGTTGAAAGGACATATCAGGGAGGAAAAATGTTGCATGCTTGTGAATATTAGTGGAACTGATTTTGTCTTTTGTTCTTTTTTGTCAGTCACATTTAACTTTGTAACATTTGACAACTAGTAAATCATCGGAACAGGAATACGAACCATGAAAAAATGGTATGACTTCGACATGAAGAGTTGCTGGTTTGAAGTTTAAATGGCTTTTATCTACATTCCAACTGAAAAAAAAGAAAGCAAAAATGAATTAATTTTTTTTCATTATTATTATAATTTAACTTTTCTTCAACAAAAAAAACAATGAAGTAAAAATACTAATAATAGTAATAACAAAGAAAAAAGGCACTAAAAGACCCATAATAAATATTAGGCTGACTGCTGATAAAAAAGTAAGATTTTTTAACCAAAATTTTGAATGTGCTTGAAAGGATTGAAAAATTTAATAAAATAATAAAAAATACTTTGGTTTTTACTCTTAATAATAAGAAACATTTTCACAATAAAAATTTGTTTTTATTATTGTTGTGGTACGATACACCTAATTTACATAAGTGGAGTACCGACCATATAAATATGGGTTGGTACCGGAAAGAGGGGGAAGTATTAAGAGAAAATCCAGAGACTCTGCCCGACTGCGATTTAGTCAACCCATTCTGCAGGAACAGTCTTCCCAAGAATATACCAAAACTAACTGTAAATATTGTGTACCTTTTCCTTGTTTCAATACATTTTGTTTAAGTACATTTTGTGTTGTATTATTATTATTCCATGCTTATCCAAGCTTCAACAATTATGTTTGGTGCCTTTTTTTTTATCATGCTATGCTGTTTTCAGTGAATTAGTGGTGGTATGTATATTTTGCTTACTGGAAATACTACTCGGTAAATTTAATCCTTTAGCTTTCAATTAAAGCCAAAGTGGAATTAAAAAGACTTTTTTTTTTATTTAAAAAAAAAAAAAAAAAAAGCCAGAACATTTAGACCTTTAAATGAACCCTGTTTTCTATGCTTATATAATAATTAGAAATTATCAGATTTTCTGATAAAACTCATTAAACTAAAGTGAATTGACTGTAAATTGTAGGCATAGTCTACTTTTTACCTTACAATATGTTTAAACTTTGAATTTAATAATAATTTTTCTTATAGTAATAATCAGTAAATTAACTGTGGTGCACCTTATATGTCTTAGCAACCGTTAAATAAAGAGCAATCATATGAAATGTTAATAATACCAACTAATCAATGTAAGATGCTAATAATACTAACTAAACACCAATACAGAGCTATATTAAATCGAAATGAATTGTACAAGTAGAATAGTAAGGCACAGAAGGTGCACCACAGTTCATTTACTGATTATCACTATAAGAAAAAGTATCATCAAATTCAAAGTTTAAACATACTGTAAGATAAAAGGTAGACTATGCCTACAATTTACATCAATTCACTTCTTTGGTTTAATAAGGGTATTTTATCAGAAAATCTGATAATATATATTTATGCATGTATTTTGGACAGGACAAATATTTAATTTGTTGTTTTTTGCCATTTTGATGTGAAAATATTTTCCATAGACTCTTTCCTGTCAAAGTATTTTGTAACATTCAAAAACATTGACAATTAGTTGGTACATGGTCAGGAGAAAATGGCGGATCAGGTAGAACAGACCAATGGGTTCTAAATGTTTTTTTTCTATTATTCTTGCAGTCTGCAGCCTTGTGTTATATATGAAAACAATTTTCCATATTATCCACTGTGTACGCTGCTACTGCTATGCCAAAAGTTAGGTATGATAGTTTACTCCAAATTTATTTTTAAGTACCATGTAGAATTATTAGTTAGGATGATACAGTAATAACTATTAGTATACTTCAAATTTATTCTCAACTGCTACTTATGATTAATTAGAATGGTACATTCAACATAACAGTTCGTTCTTAAAATGGAACTGACTTATGACTCAACATTAGTAAAAAATTCATAATACTTGATAATGCTTCATCAAAGAAATTGGTAAACTCTTGCATTTAATACTAAAAACAAGAGAAATAAGATGAAAGAAACACTAACCAAAAATTCAATGCTTCATACCAAAAAGTTGAATATTATTACATTTAATACTATTAGTGTAAGCAAAAAAAAAAGATGAAAATCTATCTTTTTTCATGTGGATGGGGCTCTCCACAACATCCTGTTTTTTTTTTTGTCTTGGTTCATCTCTGAATGAAACTTTGCAAACCGATTTTCTCCTTACCAGTCAATTGATTTCTGATAATTAAAACCTCCTTCTTTATACCATATCATCCTCACTTTTAAAAACCTAATTTTTTTTTAATTTTAAAAAAATTATCATACATGAGATATAAAATGAAGTTTATGTACTGCTGGCTCTTTATGGAATTGAAAAAAATTATGTATCTATTTAGTTAGTCAAATTAGTTTCAAAATTAGGTCTTCAAAATTTCATTTATTCAGAAAATTATATATTGGTAGATCTATTTTTTTTTACTTTTTTTATATACATTTCATAATCATAAATGAATGAATATGAGAACTGTATATAGTTATGTTTCATGCGACTTTTGAAAACCTAATTTTAAAGATAATTTTAAGAGGGTCTCATTATACATGAGATATAAAATTAGAGTCTGTACTGCTGGCTCAGCCCACGCCGTTGACCATACTATATACCCATTTACTGTAGTATAAAAGTATAGCTGTATTTAAAATAAACATGATTTTGATAAAACTGATGATTTACTTAATTGTATCCAATAATAATGCATGTAATATTAACATATAATATCGCATTATAAAATATAAACATAGCAAATATGCATTTTTTTTCTTTGTTTACATTTATAAGATGTTCACCTGTTGCCTGTTCGGTTGTCTATGGCTGTATGCATTTATGCAACAAGTATTGCATTATTAATGATACTTAATGCACTTATTTAACTAGAAAATGGGATAAAAAGATAGAGGAAAAGAAGTTAGTTTATTGTAATTTGATCTCTCAAAAATGGAACTAGGCCATTGACCAAACAATATATCCATTTACCGTAGTCAAAAAGTACAGCTGTATTTAAAATAAACATCGCACATTACATGAGTATATATGGTATATATTTTTTCAATGTCTCTATAGTATTAATCTCATACTTGAAAACCCATAACATTATTTGATATAAATGCATTTTCAATTCATTCATTTGGGGTGGGGGTTAAGAAATTTATTCTTTAATCCATGGTGTATGCTGCCATTTTTATTCTTAATTACCTCTAAGGATTAGTAGTTGGAATGATACATGTGTCATTACAAGGGATTCCTTCAAAGTAAGAATTACTTATGATTCAACCTAATCTAGTTTTTATTAAAGGAAATCTATTCTGAGTATTTAAAAGGGAAAACAGATCTTTGCTGGACTATGAAGCTCTTTGTAGCCAAGTCATAAAGCACACTAGGTCAAATGGTGGTTTCTCCTACAAAGGGGGACACATGTTCAATTCCTGCTGGAGAGCACATTTTTTTCTTTGAGATTTCTTGAATGTGCAGCAATGCCAAGCCTGGTTAGTACCTAGAATGGTGACTGCTTTGGAATTATATTCTTGGATGTGCAGTTAGTATAATGGATAATGGCTCAGAAATTGTTAATCAGGGTGCCAAGTTCCAATTCCAGTTGAGTTTGTTATATTTATTTATGTGCAAATACCTGTGGGAAAGGTATGAATTCACCTCTTTTCCCCCAACTATGGGTTAATTAGTAAGACATGTATCACTAAAATGATTATTATCTCAAAAAAAAAAATAATTAAAAAATATGCATACAAAATATTTAGATTTTGACATTAAATAACCCATAGATGTTGATGTGCCACTAAACAAAAACAACCAAACTAGTAGATGAGTTGTCTCCCTTGCATAGACTGAACACTTAGTCAACAATCCAAATGAGTGACGTTCCATAATCATCTAGTGAAGCCTGAATTTTTACCTATCATGGTAAACAGGTACTCTCTTAGGATGGCCTTATACCTTGACAACCTCTTCAGACCTGGAATGCTTATCGTTCTAGGAGAGTTGTATACTGGACATCTGTGTCCCAGACAATTGTGTCCCTGGACATTTGGCCCTAGATAAATGTGTACTGTTGATAATTTAAAGGCAATTACCATAAATTTTGAAAAAAACAAATTAATTTTTTAAAAAAGGAATAAAAGAAATAAAAAAAAAATAAAAGTTTACTTTTGTTTAAAATGCAAAGTCAAATTAACAGTGTTTACTCTATGAATTCTTGCTTTGTAAGATCGCACTATACATACACCGCCAGTATGTTTTTGTTTCATTGGTATTTTTCTTATAATAGTGGTAGCTGTAATTTTCCTTGTCCACAAATATTTTGCCACTAGTGTTTGATTTTCAGGAACTTAGCAATGGGTTCCAAATAAAAATATAATCTATAAAATCCAGAATCTATTAGATGTTTGTGGTACGCACTGTTGGAGTAAACTAAAACTGGAAGCCTAATTTTCTCTTGTTTTTTTTAAAAAAAAAATTTTTTTGTTTTTAAATTTATGGTAATTACCTTTCTGCTTGTTTTGAGTAATTAAAGGTATGGTGTACAAATTTCTATATTAAATAACCCTAACTTAAAAAAAAAAAAAAAGAAAAAAGAAAAGTATTTTCAAAAAGTTATCAGAGGTATACAATTATCCAGAGATGCATTTGTCTAGAGGCACAATCATCTGGGATGCAAATGTTGAGTACACAACTGCCCATACACCGAACGTAAACATATGATCCATCGCTAAAGATGTCGTAAAAATCATTATTTCCCTGTATTGCTCTAGTAAGTACTGAAAGTCCTCCTGTTAACCACTACCTTTCCAAGCGCTGCCATATATGGGTAGAAGCTGCACAGTCTTCCTTTTCCACTTTTGATAGAATCTAAAAGCATCTCCTCATTCTTGTGGGTGATGAATTATTTCCCACTCTACAACCCCTTCCTCCAAAGACAAAACATCACAAGCCTCTTGCTGCTCTATCACTATATCCATGGAAATTGTTCAGACAAAAAAACATTCCTTAGCGCAAGACCCAATATGCCGCATGCATTGTAGCAAACCATCTTCATTCTTCAGTATTTTCTGAGATGAGGTATTATGTACACTATTTACAGGACCCAAAGAGCTGTGAGTTCAATACCTGGTTAAGGCAGTGGAGAACTTGGAGAAGTGAATTAACAGGAGATAACTGATAACCGACATCCATTAAACATGGCATGTGGAACTAGAACAGTCTACCCCAGCGAGCGAAATAAAGAGTTCAGTTTGACATTCCAACCTCCTGAAGAGGTCAGAGTGTACAACGGCCAAAACATTGTGATAAATATGGCAACAAAAATGAGGACAATAGTCCAAATAATGTACATAATACCTCATTTCAGCAATATAGACAGATACTGAAAGGCGAAACGTTGTAATAAATATGGCAAGAAAGATGAGGACAATAGTCCGAATAATGTAATGTTACATACCTCATCTCAGAAATATAGACAGATACTGAAAATTTGAAAAACGTTGTAATAAATATGGCAAAAGAAAGATGAGGACAATATGTTAAATAATGTACATAATACCTCATCTCAGCAATATAGACAGATACTGAATTTGTAAAACGTTGTAAAAAAATGGCAAAAAAGATGAGGACAATAGTCTGAATAATGTAAATAGTGTACATAATATATCATCTCAGCAATATAGAAAGATACTGAAAGGCCGAAACATTGTAATAAATATGGCAACAAAGATGAGGACAATAGTCTGAATAATGTAAATAATGTACATAATACCTCATCTCAGAAATATAGACAGATACTCTTGGTAGTTTTGTTCAAAAAAACTGCTTAAAAAGGAATTCCTTATGTAGAACTTATATCTCACCAATAAAACATGAAGAGAATGAAGGTGCACTATTATTCGGACTATTGTCCTCATCTTTGTTGTTCCATGTGCTATATCTAATGGATGTCAGTTATCTCCTGTTAATTCACCTCTCTAAGTTCAGCAATGCCTTAACCAGGTATTGAACTCACATTCTTTGGGTCCTGTCACTGGATCTAACTAGCACCATTATCCACTGTGCCATAGGTCCTTAAGATATGTCATGTGGAACTAGAACAGTCTACTCCCAGCGAGCAAAATAAAGGGTTCACTTCGACATTCCAACAACATGAGGAAGGCCAGAGCATACAACAGCCGAAACGTTGTGATAAATATGGCAACAAAGATTAGGACAATAGTCCGAACAATGTAAATAGTAAACTACCAAGAGGATACTTCCCCAATTCCAACAATCTTAAACTGTTCAAGTCTTGGGTTAACTTATCTTCTACACATCTTCCAAATCTGTGCCTCTTAATCTGTAACCCTCTAACTTGAGTGGCTCTTGGTACTTTTACAGGGTGAACACAATTTTAAATAATTTAACTTGCTTTTCTTTATTTTTGGAATTCTCCTTCAATACACAAAGCACTTTTGCTTTGGAATCAGGCAGACGACCGAATAACCCCCCACCCAAAATGGGTCTCCATTGAGGTCTTAATTTGATCAAGGGATAATATTATTAATACTTACTTTTGAAGTCTTTTTCTCCAGACAAGAAATGGATCATAGAAACATTCAAAAAAGTGAAGAGCATGTTTCAGGAAAGATATCATGATGGCATTCTTTGGACTTTTGACTGGAGATGTGCATAGCTGAAAGGTAAAAAAAAAAAAAAAATAAAACATTACCTATATAAGAACTGGAAAATACATTCAGTACCTGTTTCTTTGTTTTGTGCATGGGGGGAGGGTCTTAATAAGTGGAATTAAGTTTAAAAGGAAATTCCTCTTACCATAAGGTGATTTTCTAATTGTGGCTTAGATGTGGCACAAGGTCAAAAATATGGGGCACCAAGTGAGGATCAAACTTACTACTCAGTTATAATTGTCCTAGTGAGACAAGCTTGCTAAACATTACACCATATTGATGTCCTTCCTCTCTTCATAAGCGTCCTGAGCGTGAATAAACTACATCCGCGTCCAGGGTAAGACAATAAACTACCTCCAACAGCAAGGCCTCTGATCAGAAAGTTTTAAGGAGCATGGAACCACCTCTTAATTGCTGGGGTTCCCGGGTCCACCCTGACCTGGGGTGGTAGCACCTGTTAGGGTCCCAGCTATGGGCAAATAGTTAACCCCAAAACTGAGATAAAAAAGCATTATGAAAGTGTAAAACTAGGTTTCAATACCAGAAATACTTTGTAAAAATTATTACCAGAAATAAATGTGTGAAGAAGAAAAACTATTACCAGCAATATGTTTTTGAAAAAAAAAAAATATTATCAGCAGCACATTTTTTAAAATTACCAGCTATACATTTTTGAGGAAAAAATATTACCAGAAATAGATTTTTGATCAAAAAATATTACCAGAAAAAAAAAAAAAAAAAAAAAAGAAAAAAAAAGATAGTCGGAATTAAATGACCCATTGAGGTTGATATGCCTTAAAATAACCCAAACCAAACCTCTCATCATAAAAATAGAATGTTTTGAATATCATTTTTTTTTTTTTTTTTAATTAGGTCATAAAAATGTTAGTGAATTAATTCAATAAAATTGTATCAGAAGTAAAATAAGTTTGTTGCATTGGTGATATACTTAAATTATTTTTTTTTATATTATCAAATTTTGTTAGCCAAGCCAATATGTAATTCAAAACATATTTAGAAAGAATACAATGAAAAATTTCATTAAGAATTAAAGTATGAAAAATTAAATCCTCTAAAATACTTTGAACTACAAATTCAGAAATCTTTTCTCTAATCCATATTTACTTGGCTTTGTTTCATCCAGCATAATGTTAATCTTATCTATCTTTAAAAATCCCTGTAATAATTTATAAATCATTTCTATTATAAAATCACCAGTTTGGAAATCTTTTCTCTAATCCATGATATTTACTTGGCTTTGTTTCATCCAACATAATGTTAATCTATCTTTGTCTTTAAAATCCTTATAATAAAAGATTGCATTTAAGCATGAAACAGACTGTCTCTCAATGTTCATTTTTGTATTTATATACACTATCTATAATATTAAGCACTTTTATTCATCAAGATAGCATACCTTAAAACTATATTTTTATCATATATATATATATATATTAATTACACAAAAACTGATCCAATGTGCAAAATTTCTGTAAAAAATTGCTACAACATTACTCTACTGATTAGACCATTTTGTTCATGTCATGTTAACTGGAAAACACTTATAAAAAAAAAAAAAAAAAAAGAAAAATTTTGGGATTTGATATATTACTATTTAAAAAAAATTTTCTCACTTGAAATATTCAAAATACAACTCTAGTGTTGTAGACAATGCACATTCTGAAATTGTGCTGTTAATGAATAGCAGACTTTTAAAAAAAAAACATTTTTCGGCTTGCAATACATTTATTTTTGCCTTGGAAATTTACCTGAAATAAAAACAATATTAATACCTGACAATGAAGTAGCGAATTTCTTCGAAAGTACTTGTAACAGAACATCTAATCGATCGGATAATTTTAAACATCAGGATCAAGTCATTCAGAGAGTCGTTAGTAAGTTAATATTTTATTGATCTGTTAGTGAAGTGATTTCACAATTAATTACATTAACTTTACTGATTAATTCTGAGGATGATTACTTCTTTATAATAAACATACACAGTAAATTTATATATATATATATATATATATATATATATATATATATATATATTGTTGGTTGTTTTGTTTTATGGCATATCAAAACCTCAGTGTGTCATTTAATGCCAACAAAATTTTTTGAAATAGATTCATAGCAATAGTTTCGTAAAAAAAAGGTGTGTCTGTATACATACATATATATGAACCATTTTTCAATTACTCATATTTTTTAGTACAATCCAACTTCTTTTAGGAAATTTACAAACTTGGATGGTTTTATTTTTGTAAAAAGTTTTTTTTAAATTTCTCACTTTGTAGATAATTTTTCCTTCAAAAATTATTGTTGGTAATAATCTTTTTTTTTTTTTATTACAAAGTATTTCTGGTATTGACCAGGGCGGACCTAGAAACACCAGCAATTAAGAGATGGTTCCATGCTCATCAAAACCTCATGATCAGAGACCTTGCTGTTGGACGTAGTTTACCGTCTTATCCAGGACGATGTGTGTGCGTGTGTGTGCACATACACACGTACAAATATTGTAAATGATATTTATAGAGGTATTGAAAATCAGAGAGCACTCACGCACTGCATATATATATATATATATATAACTATATTTTAATTTTATATATATATATATATATATATATATATATATATATATTATAATTTTGAATTTTATATATATATATATATATATATATATATATATATATATATATATATATATACCTTTCCTGACATCCGTTTAGGTGAAACCTAGGTAGGTTTTTTCTGGCTCACTAGGTGTATCTATATATATATATATATATATATATATATATATTATATTTTTATTTTATATATATATATATATATATATATAACTATATTTTAATTTTTTATATATATATATAAAAAACTATATTTTAATTTTTATATATATATATATATATAAAAAACTATATTTTAATTTTATATATATATATATATATATAAAACTATATTTTAATTTTATATATATATATATATATATATATATATATATACACACACACACAAACACACATATATATATACATACATGTAAAAACACTGTAAATGATATGGTGGACTCTCCCATTGTATTCAACATGAGGGTCAAGCAGTTTAGTTCCTTGTATCTGACAGCCCAGACACCTGCACATATGATGAGCCAACCACACTTTTTGAAAGCCGAATACAGAGACCTGGTGCACCACGTGCCAAAAGTTCCCCTAATGGATTTTTCAAGAGGTTTTGAATTCAGAGTTGTTTTAAAATAGGCCATTTACCATCCAAGTCTATAGAACCCAGTCTGTCCTGCTATTTACCCATAGCTGGAGGGAGAAGAACAGGATTAATACAAGGGTGTTAGCACGTAAGTGAATGTAATGGATTCAAATGGAATTCGAACACATCTCACATTCCTCAATCAAAGTTGCTATCCACTACTCTACTGTGCATCTGTAAATTATATATATATATATATATATATATATATATATATATATATATTACAGCAGAAAAAAAAAAATTACCTCAACATGTGGATATTCTATTTCAAGCTGGTCTGTACGCAGCTATTATCAGCACCTAAGAGTCTGTCGCAAAGCATTGTTTTAAATTTATTTTCAATGTCAGTCCTCCTCTGGTAGATGCCTCGTTAATGAGAAGGGGCTTGTGTTAGTGACTGGTGGAGGGAGCAAGGTATCTTATTCCAAGAAAGCGATCTGGGGTTGGAGTTTATTTATGGCGAGAGCCTTTCGTTGTTTGTAGCTAAATATTGGTTCCTAGGGACTGATGATAGCTGTGTAAAGAACACCTTGAAATAGACTATACCCAGATTGAAGTAATTTTTGTTTTTTGCTGTGAAAAATACATATAATCTGTTATAATAAATACATCGAGCTCCCTGTGGATCAGTTTTAAAAATTAATTACTAGGATCCATCCAGATTATATACCAATGGATCAATTACGTGTACCCTATATATATATATATATATATATGAAGAAATATAGTCTTAAGGTGTGCTATATTTATGGGATAACATGCTCAATATCAGAGATAGAGCGTGTTTAAGTATAAAAAAGAACATAGAAGTCAACACTTATAGGCGACAGTCTGTTTCATGCTGGACACAGTTGTCAGGCCTGACGATTGCATCTAGCATAAAACAGACTGTTGCCTCTAAGTGTTGACTTCAATGTTCACTTTTTATATATATATATATATATATATATATATATATATATATTGATATGTCCCGGAAAGGGATATATTTGTTTGAAGTAGCAAAGTGGTTGTTCACTACTATAACCAGGTAGGACAATCTAGCAGGTAACCATAATGGACTGGTCCTCGTCGTAGTGGTAATCAATAGGCGTCATCCTGTACCTCCACATCAGTCTGTATTTATGGCAGACACCAGCCAATCATATTACTGTGAGGGGGAACCCAGATGTATGCAAATTCATTACATTTATTTATATCTATATATATTTATTAAAGACATTTTTATGTTTAACGTTCTTTTTATAGATACAAGTAATTGGAAAGTAAATGCTCTGTTTTATAATAAACAGTATTAAATAACATTTACCAGCCTTTTGTTCCAAAAATTTTCATAGAAAAATATTCGTCCTTTGACAGGATTTGAACCTGCATCCTATACAAATATTTTTATGAAAATTTCTGGACATTCAGGCGGTAAATGTTATTTAATACTGTTTATTATAAACAGAGCATTTACTTAAATACTTGTATCTATAAAAAGAACGTTAAACATAAAAATGTCTTTAATAAATAAATTGTCGGACTTTGTCCATTTCTTAATATATATATATATATATATATGTGTGTGTGTATGTGCACATATACACACATGTACAAACATTGTAAATGATATTTATAGAGGTATAGAGAGCAATCAAACAGTGCATAACTGCCAGTCCAACTGTCACTAAGAAGCGAATAATATTAAGTTTCAGATCCCAGACTATCCTGACAGCAATTGGTC